CGGCTGTGCCAACAACAAAAAAAAATTGTCTATAATAAAATCTCAAATAAGTTTCCAACATTAAAATTTTATAAATAAGTACAAATCGAATGATATTGCTGAACTGAGAGGAAAAAAAAAATTATTGTGTAACAAGTTACCAAACTAGTTCTAGCATCGAAGACAAAAAGGAATGTTGGAACTTGTTTGTACAATAGAAATGAAAGCTTCCAGTTTGTAGGATGAGAAAAATTGAGGCATGCAGGGACTCTTGCATATGGATATATATATTTTATATATATTATATATAATATGTACAGTTTAGCTATAAAACTTTGATGTGTAAAGAAGCTGTCTTCAATGAAAAATTGAACATTCAGAGGAAATTCCTGAGTTAGGGTTTTGTGACATGGGCCACTGAGAAAAAAGCTGCGGTTGGGTCCTCAGAGGTGTTCTGTCCATCCCTGTTAAGATTGAAATCAACATACAAAAACAGACAGTGTTGCCACTGCTTCGTTCCCTGCCTGAGCAAGGGATAGCACCATTGTGAAGAGAACTCCTGCTTGTAGAGAGGAGGGAATACTTAAAAACAGTATTGCTGCTAAGACCACTGTAGTGTGCACCAAATAACGTTCTTCTAGACAACAAATGAGCACTGCCACTGGCTGACTGAAGAACACCTGACCAGGTGTAACGTTAAGGTTACGAGTCACTAGGTGTAATCTTTTCTGGGTTGTTCATCTGTTGTACATTTATCAGTCATTTCCTGACAGAAGTCTACCGTGACCGTCTGGCTGCTCTGCTCTGCTACTGTAGTGTGCACCAAATAACGTTCTTCTAGACAACAAATGAGCACTGCCACTGGCTGACTGAAGAACACCTGACCAGGTGTAACGTTAAGGTTACGAGTCACTAGGTGTAATCTTTTCTGGGTTGTTCATCTGTTGTACATTTATCAGTCATTTCCTGACAGAAGTCTACCGTGACCGTCTGGCTGCTCTGCTCTGCTGGAAGCTCCAGGGTAAGTTAAAAGTACCTGTGTCGGCTCCGTCCAAGCCGCCGCTGGCCGAGCAATTCTCAGAGATGTTGTTGGGCAGCCAGGGTGCTCCCAGCTGCACTGAGCCTTGCTCTGAGCAGCACTGCATGCTCTCCCCCACGCACTGGGAGGTCACCAGGCTCTGCTCCACGCCGGCTGGCGAGGGGCTGATGGTGGTGACTGGCTGGAGATCCATGGGTCTGAGAACGGGGCAGTATCGATGGAGAGCTTGGATCTGTTCCGGGCTCTGCATGTCTCTACACACTTCTTGGGAAAGACATGAGAAGTTGTCTAACAATTCTCCCATGCTTGCTTTCAGCTGGTTCCTTTCTGACAGCAACTTCTCTTTCTCACACACCTGAAAAAGAAAGGAGGCATCTTAGGCTGAGGAAGGGCCATCCACTGCCTGCTCACTCCAGGCACGTGTGGTGGTACTCAAGAAGAACACTAACATGTCACAGTTAGAATCATAGAATCCTCAGGGTTGGAGGACATCTCTAAGATCATCCAGTCCAACCATTAACCCCTAAACCTAAAAAACCTAAAAAAAGGTGGTGCAGTCACCATCCCTGGAGGTGTTTCAGAGGTGTCTGGATGTGGCACTGGAGGTTTAGGGTTTGGGGGTTCCAGCAAAGTTGGACTTGATGACCTTAGAGGTCTCCTCCAACCTTGTTGTCTATGATTCTAGGGTGCTGTGCAACATGCTGCAGTGGGAGTCATCTCCAGTTTAGATCTCCCGTGGCCAGAAGCTCCACAGTGGGGTGAAAGTTGTTCTCCCTGTGCTCAGGAGGCAGATTTGGGGGGGTGAGGCACAGAGCCAGACTCAGCCTGGGCTTACACCTCTAAAAACTGGTGTTGACTCAGTGCAGACTGACTGGGATGGTCCTGCTGCATCTCCTTCTGTCCCAGGCAGGTGGGCATACAGCTTGGGAGAGTGAGGAGATGAGATCTTGTAGAGCCCCAGAGCTATTTCCAGAGATGAGCTGGCCCCAAAAAGCAGGGCAGCCACGTATCTCACCTAGTAATACTGCTAAACCCAAGATGTCTCTGCATCTGAGGTGTGAAAACTCCACAACTCAGAAAATCCAACTCTGGGTGGTTGTTGACAGCTGAGAGTATTGTTGTGGGGCCAGAGCCCACACTGGGAGCATACAGCTGTGTGAATGTGAAAGAGAGCAGTGCACATGAAAAGAACCAACTGCTAAAATATTGATAAATCTATCAAGAAAGCATAAAAATAATAAAAAAATAAACAGATGCTCAAGTACATCTTGAGATAATGAATTATGGAAGAGAATATGCTGCGAGTTTGCAGGGGAAAAAAAGGGAATGTGAGTGGGTAGACAGATGAGTGAGGGAAAGCAGGCAAAAAAAAATTACCTATCAAACTCAGAGGATACAACCATTTCACTCACTGCTGTGAAACCATCTGTGTCAAGAAGATGGGTGACTTACAAGGAGTAAGCAGAGGGGGGAAAAGGGGTCTCTCTCATAACAGAGACCCAGCCAAGTGAAAACCCCTTAAACCATAATTCCATTACGTACTTCAGGAGACTGGAAATTACTGGTCACAAGGTGGACAGAAGAATTTCCAGTGACCATGTACTGTGTGTTGATTCTGCTCCCTGTCCCTATACCTCAGTTCAGGGGGCTCAGTACCCAGAGAACAACTGATCTTACTATCAAAGACTGAGGCAAAGAAGGCATTAACTACCTCATCCTTTCCCTCATCCTTTCTCACTATGTTTCCCCTGCATCCAATAAAGGATGGAGATTCCCCTTGGCCTTCCTTTTGTTGCTGGTGTAGTTAAAAACCATTTTTATTGTCTTTTACTGCAGTAGCCAGATTAAGCTCTAGCTGGGTTTCTTGAGATAAGAATCCCAACTTCACCCTTTTCATTTTCTCCTGGTGTAACTTCATCACATTCCTGTAGTTCTCCTGAGTTGCTGCTGCTGCTTCTTCCAAAGATCATGAACTCACATTTTTTTTTCCTGAGTTCCAGCCAAAGCTCTCTGTTCAGCTAGGCTGGTCTTCCTCATAGTTTGTCTTCTAGCCCATGGGGACAGCTTGCTCCTGCACCTTCTTCTTGAAGAATGTCCAGCCTTCCTGAACTTCTGTGCCATTCACTATTGCCTCCCAAGGGATTCTCCCAACCAGTCTCCTGAACAGGCCAAAGTCTGCATTCTGGAATTCCAAGGTGGCAGTTCTGCTGACCTTCCTCCTTACTTCTCCAACAATCAAAGGCTCTTACCATTTTGTGATCACTGTGCCCAAGAAAGCCTCCAGCCATCACTTCACCCACCAGCCCTGCCCTGTCTGCAGACAGTGAACACTGCCAGGGCTGGGGCAGCCACTGCCTCCCTGGGCAACCTGGGCCAGGGTCTCACCACCCTCACAGAGAAAACTTCTTCCAGATATCTAGCCTAAATTTCCCCCTCTCCAATTTGAATCCACTACTCCTTGTTTTATCACTGCAGTTCCTAACAAAAAATAGAAACATCAACAACTTTTTTTGAAGAATGCTGAACCTCAAAGGGTTTTCCATTCCTGAAATTCAGCAGGGATCAGGCCTACAAGGTCACTCCTATGCCTTTCATGCATTTCCCTGAGATATGTGTGTGTGTGCTGAGGAGAGAAGAGGACTGAAAAACCTTTATTTTGCCTATCTACATCTGATTATGTTACACAGTGTCACAGGACTGACAACAGTCAAAGCCAAGGAACCCAAATTAAAGGCTGCAGGTATCAAGCTGAACCACTCCTTACTGCTCCTGGTCCTCCTGGAGAGTGACAAGTACTCCTTTCTATCATCAGCTCAGTGTAGAGGGAGGGACATGTGCAGCCAAGCCTGGACCTGCTTCTCCTGACAACCTGGATGAGGAGCTGCTCAGAGCCTCTGACTCACCCTGCACACACTGTGAGTTACAGTCAGTCCACCAAGCAGTTGCTCACTGCTTTGTTTATCTTTGATGTTTTGTTTGTTTTGCATCAATGGAGCACTACTCCGAACAATGTTTTGATTTTTTTGTTTCTTTCTTTTTTTTTTTTTTCCCCCCCAGGGCTTCAGCAGCACAGCATCTGAAGGCTTCACAAGCCTTGATGATTTAAGCCTCTCAAGCAGATTGTGAGGTCAGTGTCACCTCCCTGCTGCAGACTGGAAGCAGACAGGCACAGACAGAGAGTAACCCCAAGTCATGTGGCTTTCTGCCACTTGGGAGGTGATGGTAACTCAGCTGCTTCCAACAGATCATTGCCTCTCTCACACTGTGTGTGCCACAGCTTGAGCAGGGAATGAAGCAAAACAAAGCCCATACTAAAGGCCACTTGCAACCTGTTCTGAGTAATTGAGACCAGCAGTGTCACCATGAGCTGCAGTGTGAGCTCACAGCACAGAAACCAACCCAGGCCTGGGCTACATCCAAGGGCGTGTGGCAGCAGGGCAAGGGAGGTGATGGCACTATCATGTTATTTTTGATGCCTCAGAAAGCTTTGAGGAGTTTTAAACAGATGAGGAGGTTGTAACCCACTCTGAAGTTCCAGTGTTGCGTTTCTCCAGCTGAGTGACACCCTGTAGACATGACTTCCCCCATGACCCTTGTCTCCAGCCTTTTTTTATTGTGTACCAGCTTGTTTTCTAATGGGCAAGGGTTGGCAGGGGAAGACGAGCAGGATCCTCAGACCATAGGGGCACTGTAACAGAGGAGGGGAGTTTTTTTACATAAGGTGCTTACAAGTAAGATATCTATATCTTACTGGCTCTCTTGACCTTGTTTAGTGATGGAGAGGAACAGGCACTTCTGCACTGCCACCTCCTCTTCTGCAGCATGAGACAAACAAGGCTTGACAGGGAGCAATTTCTCTTCACTGACTATAAGGGAAACCAGGACAACTAACTCCAGCACGTGTCTATATCGTAAACATCTGTGTTTACCCACCCAAATCACACCTGAGGTGTCCATACCATGACTGAAAAAGAGAGGAATTTCCTGAGCAGCCTCTTCATCTCACTTCAGCCACCTCCCTCCTTTAGACTAAAATGTGGCAGCACTGTCCACTGACACCTTGGCACACAGGAGACACATCCCCAGATATGCTCTGGCCTTGAGCAGGGCATGCTTTGCTCTCCTCTCTGCAGTGGACTCCTCCTTGGAATTACGAGGAGGAGTTTGGTCCATGGCACACCAGGAATGCTAGAGGGAGGAAGACAGCAGAAGCAAGGAGGAACATACCCTTGCCAGCTCACTGACCTACATCAAGGGCTGCCCACTTGTCTGGATATTCACACTCCTGGCTTTTCATTTCCCTTGTCATTCGCTCAGCCAGTGAAAGAGCTGAAGAAAAGGCACAGTGAACTGAAATGTCCTGAAAACACCGAGCTGCCTTCTAGCATGCCAAAGAGTAAGAAAAGATGTAGAGATGAAGCTGGGCCTGCCACAACCCTGTCTGGACCAAGCAACTTCTGAAGCTCTCTTCATAGCTACCTCTTTTGAGCACACTGTTGTGGTAGTCCCCCTGCACTGGGCACTGGGGAGGTCCCAGCTCAGTGCTGTGCTCAGCTTTGGGCACTCACTGCCCAAAGGCCATTGAGGCACTGAGCGAGTCCAGCCAAGGGCAACGAGGGCAGCAAAGGGCAGAGCACATGGGCAAGGGCTGAGGGAGTTGGGTTGGTCAGCCTGGAGAAGAGGCTCAGGGGTGACCTCCTGGCTCTCTGCAACTCCTGCCAGGGCTGGAGAGAGGTGTGGGATGTGTGTCCTGCCAGGGCTGAGGGAGAGGAGAGAGGGAATGGCCTTGAGCTGAGCCAGGGCAGAGTCAGATTGGATGTGAGGAGAAATGTTTTCCCTGTTGTGGTGTTGAGGCCCTGGGATATTGCCCAGGGAGGTGGTGCAGTCACCATCCCTGGAGGTGTTTCAGAGGTGTCTGATGTGGCACTGCAGGATCTGGGTTAGGGTTTGGGGGTTCCAGCAGTGACAGGTTCATGGTTGGACTGGATGATCCTAGAGGTCTCCTCCAACCCTGGTGGCTCTATGACTCTATTCTGTGATTCTATCAGAGCACACAACTCACCAACTTGCGGATTTCACATTCCAGGTTCTGAATACAGTCCAGTTTCCTCTTGCGGCAGCGCTGAGCTGCGATTCGGTTCTTGCTGCGCCGGCGAACGTCGTGGATGAACTCGAGCTGCTCTGAGGTTAGCTTGTGCATCTTTATCATCATCTGGAAATCATTCCTTGGAAGATCTGTGATTTGATCAACAGGAAAAGGAAGTTTCACCTAAACAAACAAACACGAGACAAGAGCAAACAGTCATATTTTGCTTGCTCAGTGCAAGCGGAAGGACAATTATCTGTGCTCAATGCAAGCTGAGCAATAGCCAGCGGAAGGATGATTATCTGTGCTGCCACCCCCTCAATAAACAACACACCAAGTTTTTAACACTCCCTTGTGGCACATTGTGGAGGGCCAGATGGTGAAGATCAGATGACAATTGTACTTAAATCAGCAATATAGATGAATCCCAGACAAAAAGACTTCATCTTTCTACAAAGCTCTAATAATTTATTGCATTAAAAGGAGGTTCT